GACATTATAACCCCATCTCCCAGAGAACACTGTATTGCTGAGCAGCTATAAAGGTTCAAGTACCATGTTAGTGCTCTTATAAGGAAAACTCAATCCCAGCGATTACTTGTAATGGTTGTGAGAAGAAAGTATCATTTACTACAGCAGTCTCCAGCTACAATTCTTATTGAGGTTGTATTAAAAAAAACTAAATTAAAATCAATTTCTTATTTTTTGGCACAAGTTCTATGCACCGATTCTCATTTTTTCCCTCTCCTGCTGTAACTATAAATGTAGGAGAAAGATGCTGTAGTTCAAGGATGAAGACTGTATTCATTAACAGTACCAAATAAAAAAATAAGTCTGAAGCACTCATCTTAATCAAGTCTATATTAAGTGGAAAAATATGAAGTCATTACTGCCTGCCTAGTGATTACATGGATAAGAATAAAAAGTACCCCCAGCCCTGCAGGAAAATAACACTTAGTTCGTTATACTTGGTTGCCTATTATAAAGCGGACGCTGACAGTGAGCTTCAATGCAGTTTGAAGCCACAGTCACTCTTCAACAAACAGCAGCACAAAATTACCAATCAGCAGTTCAAAACCACCATGAAGAGGGCAAGAGGAGAAGGGGGAGGGGAGACCTAAAATAATCCTTTCAGCAACATTCAAGAGAGATTTCCTTGAAGATGTGGTATATATCATCAAAGGGAAACAAGCATTCAAAATACATAGTGCTTGGGTTCAGTTCATATAGGGTGAAACCCTCTTTGCTTGCATACACACCAAGAATCAGGCCTGACATGAGAGAGGTGTAGGAGCACTCAGAAAATGAAATCTAGCCACCGACCTGGGCACAGGACATGGCTCTTTAGAGCAGCCTTGTCTGCAGTGATGAGTCCAGCCTTTAGCTTCCTCTGCACCATTCATGTGGAGTACCAGGGTGATGGTATTGGTGGAAATGCAGTTTCAGGGGCTTTACCCTAGCCTTGGCTCACTAACTAAGCCTATGCCCAAAGTAATACTGGAGGCGTGTCGTCTTATGAGAGCCCAATACAAAACTTAAAAAATTTACAATTAAAATAATTATGGCACCTAGCACAGTGGGGTCCTAGCCTACAACTGGAGCACAAATTTAATTATGAGCTCAACTGTAAAAAAGGTAGATGTTTTAAATATATTATAATTACCTATAACCACAAATATTGATAGGAAAGGGTCCAAAAATAAGACAGAAAAACTGATTTAGTCTAAATAAGAAATGCCTGCTAATGTAACTCAAGAACAGTGTTAAAATCAGGGCTGGTAAACAAGAAAATAGGAGTCCAAAATTAATAAACCAAGCTGGCTTGTCAAATACTAGGCTATAATGTGTGGATTGACTATTCCATCATCCCCTATTAGGATCCTGACAGACAGCAACTGTGGTGACCAAACAGAGAAAAAACAGAGGGGGAAAGAACAGATGGAAGTAACTTCACCATCATGGCTGCCAGCCCAACCATCTTCTGAGTCTAGGTCATCCTAATCCTCAGAGATGTTCAGATCAAATTTGGGATATGAATTGGTACCTGCTTACCCGGTAGGCGTCACCCTTATGGGGTAACAGTTAATCGTTAGCCAGGAGCAGCCAGATCCAGCCCCACAAGGCTAGAAGTGACAGCTCTTACAAGGAAAACTAATTAAACAGAATTTTACATCCCTAGAGCAAATCAGGTCAGAGAAAGGCCAGAGATAACACTGCCACCTGTACCAGCTTGAACTGAATCCCAAACACCACCTAAGATGAAACAGGGTCTTACTATAACAAAACAGCTGTAACAACAACAGCTCCAGCCCATTTCAACAGACTATCTCTTTTCCCCAAAGGACAGATATTGCCATCTAAGAAGCTGTCAAAAGTTTCTCTCATTCTAAGACTCTCTCTAGCTAAAGGGAAAGGGAACAAAGGATACTGTGACCAAGAGAACACCTCACTAAATACTTTACATCTTAATTGTTTTTTCTTATTTTTGGTATCTTTAATAAAAGGTTAAAAACATAATGGTGTGTTTGCCAGGGATCTAACAAGGCTAAGGCCACTGTACACTACATTCCGGACCCTGTGTAGCGCTGTTTAATGTTGGACCGGGACTGGGTTATGTTAACATCTTTGACCCATATAGTCCATCTAAATTAATACAACAGTAGCACCAACTGCTATAATAATATCAATAATAACATAATAATAATAATAAAACATATCACATGAAGCTACTTTGCCAGTGCCCCTAAAATAATGATGAGATCTGTCCTCAAACCACTCTTGTCACTACAATGAGTAATTCATCTCAGCCTCTCCCTGGACACCAAAGAAAAGAAAGAACAGGCTTTGCATTCTATCAGGAAGGATTAACAAAGGCAGGCAGAGGGAGAACCACACCAAGAAACCTTCCTGTACAGCACGGAGTTCCAGTTGACAGGAACCCCTCCCTGAATACATCTTCAGCAGCATGGCATGATCAGAGAGATGTGGGTAAATACAAAAGTTACTTCTTCATATACTTTGGATTCAAAGTCCAAGACAGAGGGGAAATACAGTCTGGAAAATGCTGACGTCATACACACAACACTTTGGCCTTTCCTATGCTGGCATCATCAGCGTGGAAACATGTGGCTACGTGCATACTAATATGCTGCAGTGAAAGGCAAGCTGCATTCATGCTCTCTGCAGTGTGTAGGTACATGTACAGGGTGTATGGCCTGCGCTGTGCAGGGGGTCAGAAACAGGGTGTATGGCCTGCACTGTGCAGGGGGTCAGACTAGATGATCATAATGGTCCCTTCTGACCTTAAAGTCTATAAGTCTATGTGGCAGGCAGTGAAAGGCTCTGGCAGGGGGAAGCATCATGGAAGAAGCAGGTAGCTGTTGGAGCCTCCCTTTCTCCTCCCTCCTTCCCTCCCCCCGGACATCACCCCATCCACAGCCTTCCTGCTGGAGTCTTTCACTGACTCTGGATGGGGTGAGAAAGGTTCTGGCAGCTCCCTGCAGTGGGGAAAGGCTCTGGCAGTGGGGAGTTCCCCCATCTATACTGCTATGTTTAAGCAATATAGATGCCCTGCTCCCGGTGGCCCAAAAAAGCTCAGGTGGAGGAAGGCAGCAGGGGAAGGCTCCATCAGCTCCCCACTGCCAGTGCCTTTCACTGCTGCTACCCTGCTGCTGGAACCATTTGCTAGCATGTATAAAGTTATTTGCTGCAGTGTGGGGTAGACTGGCTTTTACTACAGTGCATTGCTACTCTTACTCTACATGCTATTGCAATTGTAGACAAAGTCTTACAGTGAGATTTTGTTAGCTGCCATAGCTACCACTGCCTTTGTGACATGCTGGGTTAACGTCTTAAGATTTTGCCTGTGTCGGGCTTGCCTCCTGGTTTTGGTGATGTGTGAAAAATACACTTGGTGACTTTGTCCCGTTCAAGTGCATCAGAAAACCACTGCAAGACTAGCAGCCTCAGGATTGTGCAACATTAGCAAAGCTTTGTATACTTAAAAGCCAATGCTTCCGTCTCCCAATTTCATCAGCATATCATTTAGGAAAAAATAAGTCAAAGCAATTTTTTTTTTTTTACATTTTAAATTCTGCACTAGCAAATAGAAACTTTTAATAAAGTAGAAAAGTACCTTGGTTTGAGTAATTTTCTAAATTATAAACAGAAACACTCTCTTAAAAGCTTTAAAACAACCTCTGTACAGGGAACAAGAAAAAGGCATCTATTATTTAGAAAGCGCTTTTGACCCTCTGCAACTATTATTTACACATACAAAAGTCACATTTAAATAATCTCAAATTACCTGTCTTACATACGTACAATTCAATATTATTTATTTTTATGCAGAAATATTTTATTATTATTCATCACAAAACATTTCACGAAGTCTGTGTCTACACTATATAGCTTTAAGCAACATGGCTGTGTCACTACAGCTGTATCACTAAAAGTCGGTCAGGGTAGCCACTTTTTGTCGTCTTTTTTTGCTGACAAAGTACTTCCACCTCAATGAGCGGCATTAGCTCTTTCAGCAGAAGAGCACTCCTGAACTCAGAGTATTGTTCAGTTGCCAGTATAGACCCAGCTTGAGAATCCAGTGAGAGCTAGGAAGAAAATAGACTTTTCGGGTGAAATTCCATGAAAAGAAATAGGTGAGAGGGAAACAGTCCATTTCAGATAGATGTTGAGGAGTATGGAGTTTGTCTACATAGGAACATGCAGGATAATTAATCCTCCCAAAATTAACTAAAGGTCTGAATTTGAAACAGATTAGTTAAATTGTATTAAACTGCTGCAAGAGTGCTTTGGAAGTGAATTAAGCTAAACAAAATTCATTCTGAATGAGGGTATTCACACAGAGGTTTAATATGGTTTAACCATCTGCTTCAAATTCACTGTTTTAGTTAATTTGGATTAATTTTCCTGCATGTCCCTGTGTAGACATCTCCTAAGTAAAAGGCATCCTAAATCATGAGCGATGATAGATGGAAGAAGGTGGACAGCAGACAAAGTGAAAGGTGGGGATATAAGCCTCCAAGACTGGAAATGCATGATGAGCAAGCAGGAGAACAGGTAGATAAAAAGCTCAGAAGTAAACGGAAGGGTATTTTCAATCTGATTCAGCCATACAACAAGCCAGTGATAATGACAAAGGGTATAGGAAGCATGGTCTTATGGGCAAGGCACTGGAACTCCGGAGTCCTGGATTCATTCCCTTTTCTGCCATGTATTTCCTATGTGAGACTGAGTAAATCATTTAATCTGTGTCATTTATCTGACGTGTGGTCAAATTTGCATTCCTTTAGTTTTATTCAGCAGTTCTCTCTAAAGCTAATATTCATGCAACACTCAGCATCAGATCTGAAGCTTCTTTTTCAGGAAAAGCCCATCAAAATCCATGTGAGCTTTGGCCTGCTTGAAGATTGTAGGATGTGTCCTCACAAGTGCTGAAGTTACACTTCATGGTAATGTCTTTCTACCAAACTTACCATTCTGTTGGTGAAGTTGCTGAAGTCCTTCACTAAGATATGTTTGATCATCTCTGGCTCAGACACCAACACGTACATTCGGCGACCCATGTAGTATCTATAAAGGAGATGGAAAACCCATTTTAGCAGATATTGCCAGCCAGAGAAAAGCCACCTTCCCTAAGAGGCCTCTGTTGGCTGAAATACATTTTGTGTACATAAATCATATTAGCTTTCCATTCTCTTTGGCAGTTCTGTATCTTTCCACCCTCTGAAACATTTAAAAAGATTAAGCTGTCAAATCCATTGGTATGTAAAGGAACCAATTTAAATTCAAAAGAAAGAATTACTAGAACCATTGTCCAATCTATATTTAATGCCTTTCCACTAGGCTGTATCTTCACTGAACATTTCTACTTTCTATTTTCAGAAATTTGCCCTCTGTTGAGTGGCAATGGTGCCATTCCACTGCTATAGACCAGCCCAGATGTGTTTTTATTACCACAACAGACATATGACAGAGGAAGGCAATATTGCTTCCAAGTAAGAACAAGACCTTCCTGTCTTCTCTTTGCTGTGGATATGGGGAGGGAGCTATCATTTCTGACTCAGATCCC